CATTTTTTTAATTAATTCTGTTAAAAAATTTTTTTTGACAGGGAGGTATTTATAATTTTTCAAATTGTATGAGGTAATTCACATTTTAAGCAAATCTCAAAAGATATATTTATAATTCACTAAAAAAAATTGTTAAAAAGCAGTCTTTAGAACTGTTAAGTTAGTGTTGAAAAGTATATAATGATATTTGAGATACATAAAAATTTTATAAATATTATAAATATTTTACCATTTTGTATTTTCTTTTGGGTTATGCTTCAAACCGCCAGCACTCCCAGCACCCCCTGCACTTTTGTGAGAGAGAAGGAGGAGAGAGAGGGGAGAAAAAATAAAAAAAAATATATAATACATAGCCACAAATTAATTAAGAGTCGTAGGGATCTAATTACTATTTTCTTTTAGAGAAAAGTTAGGAATTATGAAAATTTTATTACGAAAATGATCATGAAATATTTGTGATCCTTAGTCTATTTTGATACCTTTTTAAAACTGTGAATCACAAATTCGTACACATGTGGTCAGGCTCCATTCCAATGTATAAAATTGTAACACAACATTAAAATAGAAAATCAATGATCAATATTGTCATGTCAATTTGAAATTGAAAATATCCTTTAATTATTTTCAAATTAGATTATGAAAATAAACATCTCCATTTTTTTTTTTTTTAATGTAAACGAGAGGACCTGGATCCACTAAGTACATGCAAATATTAAATTTATCAAGTAGGCAGCAAGATTCAAATACAAAATTTATTATCAATTCTGATAAGTGGTGGCTCAAGGGGTAAGAAATTTAGGTGCTCACCTAGGGGTCTCAAGTAGAAAAGGGCCTCACTTTTTTTTATATTTATTACTATATAATGTATATATTCATCAATAAAAAAAAACTTAAATATGAAATTTCTCTGCAAATAAATAAAAAACAATTAAATCTTAAATTATCAAAAAAACAATGGTGTATTACACTCTGTAATCTTAGATACTCAGCCAAATCAGAAAGGGAGCTAAACAAATATTTCTCGTTAGATACAAAAAAGGTATATCATCATTACTTTTACATTAAAAAATTCTCTTTATCAAAATTATTTTAATTGTGAAAGTTAAGAATATTGTTATGAATTTTTTATAACAGTGAAAGTTAAGAATATTGTTATAAATTTTAAATAAAAATTACCGTAAAAAAATTATAAAGATCCCAATTAAAATTTTCACATTGAGGGTAAAATAAGATTAAACCGCCTCTGACTTTACTATTATATGCATGTTTATTCATTACTGACGTCGTAGATTTTAAAAAAAAATTCTTTTGTTTTGTCATAGATAAGACAGCATTGTCGTGAGAGAAAGGTTGGCAGACAGCCAACGAACGCGTAAAGTAGGGATTTAGGGGTTGTTTGGGATGATCTAAATAATTGTATTTTTTGATTTTTTATAAAATATGAATTGAATTTGGGTTAGGTTTGAAGTGATGTGTTAGAGAGGTGACGTGACTTAAATAGGATAGTGACTTTTTGACTTTTTATTTTTTTTCAAACATGTCAAACTTGGCCTTAAAAAAAAAAATAGAGTAGACTTTGTTTGAAAGCTTGATTATAATATCTTTTTTTTGTTATAATTTGAAAAAAAAGGGTAAATTACAAATATAATTTTTGAGGTTTACTTAAATTATAAATTATTTTATATAATTTTAGAATTACATTTATCCTCTAAGGTTTCTAATTTCATAATAAATATGTCATTTTATTAATAAATCATCAAGTTAATTAATAGTTTTTAATAATGTTAAAATTTTATTTCAATTAATAATTCAAATAATTTTATTATTGTATAAGTGAATAATTGGAAATTTCATTTTTTTAATTAATTCTGTTAAATTTTTTTTTTGACAGGGAGGTATTTATAATTTTTCAAATTGTATGAGGTAATTCACATTTTAAGCAAATCTCAAAAGATATATTTGTAATTTACTAAAAAAAATTGTTAAAAAGCAGTCTTTAGAACTGTTAAGTTAGTGTTGAAAAGTATATAATGATATTTGAGATACATAAAAATTTTATAAATATTATAAATATTTTACCATTTTGTATTTTCTTTTGGTTATGCTTCAAACCGCCAGCACTCCCAGCACCCCCAGCACTTTTGTGAGAGAGAAGGAGGAGAGAGAGGGGAGAAAAAATAAAAAAACAAAAAATAATAATAAAATATAATACATAGCCACAAATTAATTAAGAGTCGTAGGGATCAAATTTGTGAGAGTCTCCAGTATTACTATTTTCTTTTAGAGAAAAGTTAGGAATCATGAAAATTTTATTACGAAAATGATCATGAAATATTTGTGATCCTTAGATTATCTTAATTAGTGTATGGTGTTTTATTATAAATATAATCTAAGTTACAAATCTTTCATAATTACTTTTATGAAAGACTTTTCATGATACTTAACCTTATTGTTTCTTTTATAGTCGGACCCATGAGCAAAATTTGATTCTCAAAAAAACAAGAAAGGGGACATGAGCTTTAAATGCAGCCAAAATGCATAATTAAATTCAGACTTCATTAATTAGATCTCAAAATCTGTCACTGTCGTATCGACTATGGGGGTGTTTTGGGAAGTCTATATCCTCTGGGTCTCTCTATTTGGCTCCTTATTTGGTCGACTATTAGACTTATTTTTGAGTTTAATTTTAATAATTCAAGTTGTTCATATTTTAAAATTTGTTAAATATATCATACTTATAAAAAATTAAATCGATCGAATGTCGAAAACTATGTATTCGGATCATCAAACTAAAAGTTTTATTAAAAAGATAAAATTATTTATTAAATATTTTTAATAAATAATTTTTAATTTGATGATTCAAACACGTGATTTTTGATATCCGATCAATTTAATATTTTACAAGTATAATATATTTAATAAATCTTAAAATGTCAATTGTTCGAATCATTACAAATGAATCCAATAACCTATCAAGTACAAAGTGAAGTAGAGAGATCCAATAAGAGAATTCTTATTAGCGTTTTGAAAAGATGGCTGGATTAAATAGTTAACTTTTGACTTTTTTTTTTTTTTTTTTGATATGTTTCCAAGTGGTCCCTGTATGTTGTCATTTGGACTAGTAGTCGAGATTGACATGTAAAAATTGATAAATTGGTGGGTTGGTGAGTGTTAAATCAATAGCAACTTGGACCGAATGAGAGAGAGAATCTTTTGGTGTCCACGGTGGTTACTTATGAAAAATGTTATAGATTTGAAATAAATTATTAAATTTTTTATCAAATTTTTCATATAGAATGTGAGATCCACACAAATCATATTTTCATGAATTTCATATTCATATAAAAAAATTTGATAAAAAATTTAATAATTTATTTAAAATCCCTAACCTAACTCGGTCCCTTATTCCATGTAGCTTCCTTACATCCAACTTTGTGGTCTGTGGGTTACCTACCTCCATTATTGTTACAGTCCAAAACCAGAGAGAAAGTTGTCCATTTTGTTCGGTTGAATTTAAAATTAAAAGAAAAAAATTGTTATTTTTTAAGAGAAATGGTGGAAATTCAAAAAATTTGTCCAAATATAAAGTCCAAAAAATGTATCCTAAAATGTGATTTTGTAGTTCAGTTTTAACTTTTGTACAATGGAACCGACAATTATAATGAATCTCCATCACACATTACTTGTTCTAAGTATTTTTTTATGCATAATTGTGGGGATATATTTTTTGAATACCAACACATGGTCAAGGTGACGCCGACGTGTCAGCCGAGATGCCACGTGTCCTAGTCGTGACGCCGAGGTTATCTCGGATAGGCCGAGATTATCTCTGAAGATATCGGAATCCGAGATAAGCGAATAAGGGACAAGAGTCCTAGAATAAGGAAGGACTTCAGCCTGGATAAGGATAAATCTCTTAAGAAGTTTATCGTTATCTATTGGAGAGTCCATGGTAAGCACTAACTAAAGTCCATTGAAACTAAGTTTCTATTGGGACTAAGATTGTATTGGCTAAAAAAGAAAGACACCCCCATAGGTCTAAGGTACGCAATTTATATTCTGAACAGTGAGTTAAGCACTTGATTTATCTTTGAGAGATAACTGACTTGATCGTCGGAGTGCCCCTCGGTGGACGAACCACCGCCGGAATCTCTTTTTTCTGTTGCAAGTCAATCAGGCGCTATCTATTCTGCCAGTGCTCTCCAGCTGGCAATGTGGTCAGAAATCAACACACAATAATGTATCTAGTATTGTTGTTTTTAAAAAAATACTAAAAACTAATTTGGTAAAACAAAAGAAAAATACTCATAATTTTCTTTTTTTTTTGGAGGGGTTTTTGAAAATTTAAAATATTATTTTGACAATTATTTTCATCAAATTAATTTTTATTTTCTTTTTGAGAAAAAAAAAAAGAAATAAATTATAAAAACTCAACCAAATATGATAGTGAAGTTCGAAAAAGTAGATTGAAAAATAGAGAGAAAATGAAGTATGTGTTTAAAATTTAAAGGATAAATTACAATGATCTTTCTTGAGATTTAAAAAAAATACAGTAAATCTCACAAGTTTGGGGTAAATACACTAGGCTTCCTAAAGTTTTAATTCATATAACACTTGGCAAATTTTTCATCAAAAATTCATTAGTCATATAAATAAAAAAAATATTATTATATCTTTTACATTGAAATATATATATATTTTACCCTATACATCTTTGTGTTTTTATACTATTTGTATTAGTTTTGATCTCTTTAACCCAACTAAAAGGAAGGCAAGTGTAATTATGTAAAAGATGTAGACCTTGCCATATTTTTTTCAAACCTCAAGGAGGTCAATGTAATTTATACAAATTTAAATTTAGTATGATAGGTGTAAAATCTAGAATAAATTTGATTTACACATTTTATATTTTTATTACTTTCTAAGCTATTATGCAACTATATCCATCCATTTCTATTACAAATACAAAAATTAATCACAGAACTAAATGTAGAGTAAACATGAATGGACAAATTTTATCAAGTTCGTTAACCAAATTCACTTTTAAAAAAATTTATTTGTTATATATTTTGTGCCCAACTTGTGTGTTTGCAAACTAATTCGTATCCCTCACCAACTAAGGGTGGCTAATAGGAAATAATAATAATAATAAAATAGTGCCCTACAACAAGTAAATGTGGCCAACTTCAATTCCTATTGGATTCTAATATTTTTAATCCAAGTACATGAATTTCAGTATTAGAAACACTACAGGAAATATAGAATTTAGCGGCGTTTATTTAGCGACGTTTTTTTAAACACCACTGTTTCTAACCTTTAACGACGTTTTATAAACGTCACATTTTATATTGATTAAAACGGTACCGTTTAAGGAATAGAAGTCGTTTTTTAAACGCCTTCACGTGTTACAATAGTATTCCTCCCCCTCTCTCTTTAGCTCTGTGAGAATCAGAACCCTTCTCTCTCTCTCTCTCTCTCTCTCTCTCTCTCTCTCTACACCCTCATTTTGAATCTAGAAAACATTCATAGTCTTAGAGAAATCAATCCCTCAAATCTCTCACTCACTCGATCGCTCGCTCTCTCTCTAAACCCTTCAGCCTCAGAGATTACGATTCAACCTTCTTCAGTTCGGTTTCATCTCAGATCCAATCTCAGAGTGATTTCGACTTCGAAGTTCTCTCTCTCTCTCTCTCTCTCTCTCTCTCTCTCTCTCTCTCTCGATTTCGAAGCTCCACCGCCACCACCATCTGCATCGTTGACTAAGGTGAGCACACCGTCTACAATCTCAGTTTCGCATTCTCTCTCTCTCTCTCTCTCTCTCTCTCTCAAGCTCTTCGTTCGATCGATTCTTCTCCTAGGGTTTACATATGTTTAAGATTTCAGATCTGAGTTTTCTCATTCAAAAATATATGTTTGAGATCTGAGATTTCTCATTCAAAAATATGTTTGAGGTTTTGAAATTTCTTACTCTAGTTTTGTTCTTTTGATTGACTCAAAGCTAGATGATGATGTGGGAAATGTTGAAATGGAACTTTTCTTACTTTCGAAGTTTGTGAAATCTTCGGTTTCTTCATGTAGCGAAATACATCCAGATGCAGAACAGGTTCAAGCGTAAGTTTAAAATAATTTGGGTTCTGTTTTACGTAGATTTTATATATGGCCAGTGGCCACCAAGAATTTGTTTCTTAGCTTATCGACAAAACAGAAGGAAACAAATGAAAATTTTGTGGATTTTACTGGTATTTTTGGGTGGAATGGAAATAATGATTGTAAAGTATTATTCCAAAATTTTCATCTTATTGGCAATTGAATCGGTATTATTTTGGAACAGAGCAATCATATCGTGGCACTAAAGGTGCTTTTCAAGAGCCAGCTGAAACAGTCTCAGGTTGAACATCAGCTTCGTCGTGAAGTTGAAATCCAAAGTCATCTCAGACACCCTAATATTTTACGCCTTTATGGATACTTCTATGATCAGGTATAGTTCATCTAGATTATCAAATTTCACAGCTTTTCCATGTAGTTAATCTGTTAACTTTTGTAGCCAACTGACTAATTACCCTTTTTTTCAACACAATTGTTGCAGAAACGAGTTTATTTGATATTGGAATATGCCGCCAAGGGTGAGCTGTACAAGGAGCTACAGAAGTGTAAATACTTTAGTGAAAGACGCTCTGCAACTGTGAGTTTCGACACTATGGTTTTCTTTGTTTGTTTATCTTCCATTTGGCTTGTCATTCTTATTACATATTATGTTTCGGAACCTTCCAACTGTGAGTAAATTTATAATTTTTTCCACAACTTGCATCATGAATTTAAGGGATACACTTCGATGCCACGGGCAACATTGTTGCCATTTTTCATTCTATCTATAGAAAACTTGTCATTTTTTTTTTTTTTGTGCATTGACTGTTATGCATTTTATTTTTTTTCAATTTTTTTTTTTTAGTGGAGAGTGTTGAGCATGATGCAAGTGTAGACATATGGAGCCTTGGTGTCCTCTGCTATGAGTTCCTTTATGGGGTTCCACCTTTTGAAGCAAATTGCTCTAGAAGTATTTTAAATTCACTTAGCCTTTGTTGTGGAAGATGATTTGGAGCTTTCTCCTCTATATTGCAAATTTTTAAGGGGTTTGATTGTTAATTATTACTACAATGCTTCAAATTTTAATCCTTCAATCTATGGGGCATCACTGCAGAGACCAAGGTTTGTTCCAGGTATCACTTTCTGACTTTGTTGCGTCTCTTGGTCCCTGTTTGGTAGCTCAGAAAATTTAATAATAGCAAAGAAAATGAGGTGTTGGCAACTGAACTTTTTCGTTACTTTAGACTTGACAAAACTGAAAAAGACAGCAGGTGGTTTTTTTTTGAAGTTTTAGAGGCCAAACCAAACACAAACATAAGATTTAGCATTCAATTTCTTTTTCCTTTCAAGGTTCTCTGCGACCACGGAGGTGATCATTGTTAATTGGGGTCACTTTGCCTTGAATTTTGATGATGGTTGCTGATTTGTGTTGATCAAGGTGTGGGAGTTTGACAGATTTAGATATACTATTAAATTTTTGGTTAAATGGGATTGAGTGAATCAATTTCCATTGAGACATTGAATGTGACCTAATTGTTTCAGTGTTTCATATGATGGACACAATTTCAAAATCTAGGAGTCCACTATTTTGTTTAATTGGTGCCATCTTTGAATCTTCTTGGAGCAAATTGCAAATGAACAAATATGTTTTGAGAAATAGAATTTTCACAGTCAACCATAACCTCGTCTATATGATCCTCATCAGTGCTTTAACAATAGTATCTACTGGTGCAATAGGATTGATGGATGGGGAATGCTTATTGATGTTCGAATATTTGCTTGACATAGGCTGATCAGCTCATGTTTAAGAGCTTTGCTGTTACAGATAAGGGATAATGAGCAAATTGATGGAAGGTATTATGTTGTGGATACATTGTTTTCTTTGTCTTTTGGTTTACGAAGATTTTGTGGTGCTTGATTCCCGATGTGATGTCCATTCTCTTCACTTACGTTGGAGATACTTGAGAGTCTGTCTTCTTTAATAGGTTCACCAAAGCATATTACCTACTTCTCCATGGGATGGGAGAGCACAGGTAACCTGTCCATCAACTTAGTTTTTCTTTTTTCCATCCTTTTCTTTAAGAGTATGTCCAAATCACTAATTTAATGCAACCACCAATGAGTTAACTGAATAGTCTTTATGATGTTATTGACCATCCAAGAGGAGTTTTAAAAATCTAGTTTTTGAATTCCGTTGTCCCGAAGTGTAGCAATTGGTCTTTTTGGGGGCTTAAAATAAATTTTTTTGCTCTCACTGGTCCTTGGTGTGTTCTTTCTTTCTTGACAGGTGTTATTTGGGAGTAGAGCTTCTCAAGTCTGGCAGTGAAGGAAGTGAAACCACCCTCAAAACCCTTTGGCATCACACAGATGCTATTATGTGCTGCTCTTTGAAGGTATGTGGCTTAAAATTTTCAGCTCTCTCTCTCTCTCTCTCTCTCTCTCTCTCTCTCTGTGACATGGGTCTTGAATTGTCTTCCTATGCTATTATTTTTAATTGTTTATTATTCACAGCTTCAAATTTAAAAGGTAATTGGACTTCCAAAAAGCTGAAAGATTTGTATTTTGCCAGAGTTTAAATAACCAGTTAAGCTAAAGATTTGTCTTGAATTGGACTTCCAAGAAGATTTGTACTTCTTGAAACAGAAATGCCAATCACATCCAGAGATTGCGAAGGTTTGAACTTGTCCTCCAGTTTCTTCGATACTAAAATGACCAGCTTTAGTACATTTATTTGACATAATTCAACTGCTAGTGTTGTGTTGTGATGCCTATCATGATGTTAATTTTGCTAATGCAAAATTTTTTAACAGTTAACCTGTTCTCTTTCAGTTGCTTAAGATAGTATAATGACTGCCTTAGTGTATTTGACATAATTGAATTGTTACTGTAGCCAGTCTTTAAGTTGCAGTGTCTTTCATTATTACTGTTGCTATTTGAAATATTTTGAGTAGCTAACCTTCTCTTCATTGTAGGTGCTTGAATTTTTTCATTTTGTCTGCACATCCGAGGACATTAACAATCTTGCCCATGCATTGATGCTGAAAGAAGCTTTGAACACTGTCATATTTCCAGTCATGGATGAGGTAATTAAGGCAGTTTGTGACATGGCTAAAGCTAATGCTCATGTTCCCATGTTTTCTCGCACTCATGGGCAGGTAGATGAATTTTTTATTTTAAAAAATAATAGATATATAGATGTTGCACTGCAATTCATGAGAGAGAGACTGCTCCATCTGATTAGTACCCTTCATACATTGGATCATCGAGAATATGCATAATCACTTAAAAATAACTAAATATGATGACTAAAAGGAAGAAGTGGAGTTGATGGAAAAATTACAACTGATTGGAGGAAAATGGTTTATTTACTTCAACTCAAATTGTTGGGGTATATGCTTTGTTGAGTAAAGTTGTATACTTAACCTGCCTGGCATATGGTGGCGCATGCAATTGTGTTTGAACAATGGTTTTAGAGCTAATAGAGTCATCAATAGATCACTCATTTGGTTTTTCCACAAATATTATACTTTTTAAGTGTATTTTATGTTAGGTGTGCTTAAAAATTAAAAAAAAAATTCTTAAAATATTAAAAGAATTCATTGAAAACAAACAAAAAAAAAATTACGAAAAATAAAAAAGTATAATTTTCTGAAAAGTGTTTTCTGGAGACTAAAGCCAAACAAGCTGATTATTATTATGTAAAAAAAAAAAATTGTTTTTGTTGTTGAATTTGAATTTGAACTTTTTTTTTTTCATTTGCATACTACTGGAAGTCATTGTTTTTTATTTTTTAGAAAACATTACAATTTTAAAATAATAGATATTTTTGAATGTCTTATACTGTAAAATTCATTGTCTCTGTTTTGCTAAAAATAACTTTTTTAAATAGTTTGCTAAATAAAATTTTCATATCAAGTATGCAACTAACTAGATGGTGCAATAAAAGGATGATTGACACGTGTATAGAGAATCATATATATATATATATATGTGTGTGTGTGTGTTTAGGTGGCACATTATAAGGGCTTTCTTTTTCTTTTTTATTTTTGAGAGAGCATATGTATTTTCTTAATTATATAGAGTTCTACACAAATTTAAATTTATTTTAAATTATACTAACTTTACTTATTTCATATATACTCTATTTGACAAATATTTTTTTTTTTATATTTTTCATGGTAAATTGAGATAATCCATAAATCTAATACCAATTTTTGCGTTTCATGTTTTTTTTCTTAATTTTTTCAAGGGTATTAGGATTTTTTTAATGCTAAATTGTCTCCTTTTTTTTTTTCTTTTTTTTTCTCTTCTTATTTTTTCGTGTATTATTCTGTTCTCAATACCAGTTCTATATTATGAATTTGTCGTTTAAATTTTGTAGTGATTCTATATATGAAATTATACTTCATTTCCTACATTATTTAATATAATCACAATTCATAGGAGAAAAAAGATGTACAACAATGATACTCTTGAGAAACCTCTAAAATTTAGATTTACTGCTTTAGTTACTTTTTCAATTGTTGAGTAGTAAGTTCTTTTATTTTTTTGACATCATATTACAGATGATTAATCACTTCACACACTGAAATGTATCTATCATTTAAATGTTTTCATTATTTTTCCATTTTGGATTTAGATGTTATGTGATTCTTTCTTGGTTAGTGGTTGAATTTCTTTTATGTAGTTGATATTTTAATTTAATTAAAAGTATTTATTTTACAATCTTATAATTTAATATATATATATATATATCATATAAAATCATTATATGATAATCCAACTACAACATATTTATATTTAATTTTTTAAATAAATATTATATAATTTATATTTCTACATATATTTTTTTTTCAAATGAATATAAAAGAAAATTAAATAGTTAGAATTACTTTTAATTTTATCTTACTAATTCTTCTTCTAATTTAACTGTTATTTTTAATATTAAAATAAGTATTTATTTTACTATTTTATAATTTAATATATATCATATAAAGTTATTGTATAATAATTACATTTTTATAATACGATATGTTAGACATATTGATTTTGATGATTTTGTTTTGATTTATGTTTTGATTTAATTGAAGAGTTAAACTATTTGAAATCTAATAATTAATTTAACATCATAATTCATCCTCATTTTGTCTTATTTATGTTTATTAGAGGCCAAAATTTCAGCTTAAACAAAGCAAGAACCAAGCAGTAGAACACAATAACAAGCAGCAACAACAGCAGAAGCAGAAACATTGTCTCGATTTTGTTTTGATGGATTATAATCGAAAACTTATTGTTTGATTAAATCATTATAATTTATGATTCTCTTAGTATTTAACTATGTTTTTGAAGGCCAAAAAAAAGCTTAAACAAGTATTAAAGAAGTCCCATAACAACAGCAAACAGCAGCAACAGAAGCAGCCAAAACAAAGAAGGTTGAAAATACATTGGGTGGACGTTCGGGTAGACGACCGGCTAGGCCAAATCAGCCCGTTTCACTCTAGTTCAGTACAGCTTCGCTCTGACTGTCAGACCATTAGTATGCTCGGCAACCGTGGACAACATCCTTGATGATCGGGACTTGACCGAACATCCGGGAGGACGTCCGGATGGATGACCACCAAGAACAAATCTTCATCTGGGACATCCGAGTTGACAACCATTCTGTGCTGCAACGACTCTTTTTCAAATTTGCTTGTCTTCAATCAGACCCATTTTCAACTCCTTCAAGATCTAATCATGTATGGGAAATGCAAATTTGATTAGAGTAGATTTAACCAAAATCTTACTCAATGTTCTCAACACACGCAACAGACAACAGATACATTTCTTCTTCATAAATAGAAGCACTCCTGCTACTAAAGAAGAGAAGATATATAGAGAGAGAGGGCGACAACCAACGTGCCTTACACATTTTTTGATACTTCATCATTCACATCTTCTTCATACATCACTCTTCTGAGTTCATCTTTCCTTTAGAAAATCAAACACTAAGCTATAGCCTTAAGCCCATCTACCTATGAGAGGTTATCAGAAATTCAAAAAGATTTGAGCCAAGAAAAGCTATATGATTTTATCATCAATCTCATCTCTTTATTATCTGAAGAGTAAATCTTTTGTATTTCATTTTCCTTCAAAAAAACACACAGAGCTTTGCCTTAAGCATATCCACCTTTGAGAGGTTTTCACACAAAATCAGTGAGCTTCATTTTGTATATCCATATGTGAGAGATATTTATTGTAAGCTTTCTTTGACAGCAAAAACACCATACTCATCTTGTAAAGGTCACTAGCAAGCTTGTAAAGCTAGGGAAAATAAGGTCACTAGCGATCCTATAAAGTTAGAAAATCTATAGAGGATTACTCCATGTGTTGAGAGGTTGCTACCACTCGTGTGAAGTTAGAAGATAGTGAAAAATCTCAAGAGAAACTTGAGGAGTGGATGTATAGAGGATTACTCCATTGTACCATCAAATATTTTTTGAAAAAAAAAAAAAATAACACATGCAATGCATAGGTCAACTGCCAGTATATATTATTAAAAGTAGTGTTTTTTATAGGTCAACTGCCAGTATATATTATTAAAAGTAGTGTTTTTTCCTTACTTAAATGGCACATTATAAGTGCTTACTTTTTTCTAAGAAAGTCACGTCAGCATGTATTTTCTTAATTACACAGAGTTCTACACAAACTCAAACATAATTTAAATTATTCTAACTTCATTTATCTCATGTGGACTTTATTTGACAAATATTATATATATATATATATATATATTGCATGGTACATTGAAATATTCCACAAATCCAACACAAATTTTGCGTTTCATGTTTTTTCTTCTTAAATCTTTCAAGGATATTAGGATTTTTTTAAAATGCTAAATTACCTTCTGTTTTTCTTTCTTTCTTATTTTTTTGTGCAGTATTCTATACTCAATACCAATTCTATATTATGGATTTACCGTTTAAATTTTATAATGATTCTATATATGAAATTATACTTCATTTTCTACATTATTTTATATAATCACAACTCGCCGGAGGAAAAACTTATACAACAATGATATTCTCGAGAAATCTCTAAAGTTTAGATTTACTATTTGAGTTACTTTTTTAATTGTTGAACAATAAGTTCTTTTATGTTTTGCCATCATATTACAAATGATTAATCACTTCACACACTGAGATGTATCAATCGTTTGGATGTTTTCATTTTTTTTTTTTGGTTTAAATGTTGTTATGTGATTCTGTTTTAGTTAGTCGTTGTTAAATTTCTTTTATATAGTTGATATTTTAATTTAATTAAGAGTTTTTATTTTACAATCTTATAATTATATATATATATATATATGATAATCTAACTATAACATATTTATATTTAAAATTTTTAATAAATTTTATATGATTTCTATTTCTACATATTTTTATTTTCCAAATGAACATAAAAGAAAATTAAATAGTTAGAATTACTTTTAATTTTATGTTACTAATTTTTCTTCTAATTTAACTATTATTTTTAATATCAAAATAATTATTTATCTTACTATTTTATAATTTAATATATATCATACAAAATTATTAACATATGATAATTACACTTTTACAATATGATAGAACTAAAATGATCAAAATACACAAATAATTTAACTAAAATTAATATATATATATATATATATATGAGTATTCCAGTAAAATTTTATAACGATTACCGCCAAAATTATCAAATAAATAATTAAAATTATATTTTAATTTTAATTTTAAAAACATTTTAAATTAAAACTTAAAATACAACATACATAAATTAAAACTTACAATTATTTACTGTAATGATGCAAACAGTTCTTCAAAATACATAACTTGAAAATACATTTGCAGAAATAAAATTACAGAGATTTTTCTTGAAATATTGGAACTCTCAATTTTTCTGACTCTGCCTTATTCTTGACTGAAGAAGCTTTTTTATAGATGAAAAGAGTTACTGTGAGCCTTGTGAAGGAATCTGACTTTGAAAGAAGCACATGGGAGCTGTCTGCAACTTTCGATGAGTGACTAAAGTTGATGGCTGCTTTTTACTATGTTGAATTTGTCGGTTGAATGAATTATGATGAATGATGAAAAGTAATGTTGACTTTCTTTGATGAATAGTGAACAGTAAATTTGACTTTTTTCACTATTCATTGCTTTCGGTGGAGACATGTGACTGAAGGAATCAATATATATATATATATATATATCAGTAGCTTTTTTCAAAAGAAGAGTATTGATTGAAGCTGATAATTATGTCTATATAGAATCCAATGACTATGTCATGCATATGGATCCTAAGCATCTTGAAATTGGGATCCATAGGGGTCCTGATTAGTTGAGCCTTCTGAAGAGTCTGAACCATTTGAACCTTCTTCTGAACTTTCTTCATCGGATGACTTAGCTTTAGCCATGAGTAGACAGGCTATTTGGAGAAGTTCATCTTTGGAGGACTTGGACTTGGACTTGACTTTGGGCTTATCCTTTGATTGATCAGTTTTGAGCTGTGTTGACTTGGATTTAATCTTTGACTTGGATGACTTGGACTTGGAAGAACTGGATGTTGGGCTTCCAAGATTGACTGGAGGAAGTGGACTTGCTTGTGTTAATGAAGCAGTTGGGTTCTGCTGAGCTTTAACCATGGCAGGTGTTAAAGCATGAATATTAACTGGAAATTTTGTTTGGACTATTTCAATAATTCGAGGAATTTTGAAATTGTCCCACCATTTAACCAAATGTAGGCGGTAAATAATGTCATCAGAAATAGCATATTGCCACATAAATATCCATGGGACTTTGTATTTGGATAAGAAAATGAGCAATGTAGGGAATTTCTTTTGTTGGGGACTGAATGAAAATACTGTGGAG